TCCCCCTGCTTCCCTGTTCAAGTCCCTCAGGCACCATTCCCTGTGGAGTTTTGACTGTGTGTGCAATGAAACTCTCATTTCCCAGCTGGGCACAGACCTCTAGGATTTTTTACAGATCTCTAGCTGAGATTTTTAGTGAAATGGAGAAGACTAATGAAGCTGATATAAATTTGTTAATTTATAAAATTTTCACACAGTTCACTTCTTTTTGACTGATCTATTCCTTGAAATAATTGTTAATTTGCTGTTTCAACTTATTTCACCGTTCACTCCTTTTTTCTTTTTTCATTTTCCTGCCATTGTTACAGTTGCTTCTGCTAAGCTTCTTGTGTCCTCATGAGTTTTTACAGAAAGCTCTATTTCCATACTCCATGATTCCCTTAATTCTACACCTAAGTGAAAGTGTGTAATTCTCACAACATGAAGGGTGACAGAAGTCTCATCCTCAGTTAGCCCCTGCCTGAATTTGTAACCCAGTTCTACAACACGTTTAAAAACACACGTGCTGTTCCCTGCCTGACAGGCCTGCTGTTGCCTGTGGGCTTGGCTAGCTACTGGCATGTTTTCTTCAGCAAAAGTTGCTATCACTACTTCTCTTGATATTGTCAAAATGCTGTATGCCAGTGTTGGTGATGTTATCAAAGACAAGTAAAATCTCACTGAAATGCAGTACTAGGTTTGTTTGGTAAAACTTATCTTCCTTTTGCACTCTATTTACATTGTTAATAATAAACTTCTGCTCCATTTCTGCCATAACTTTGACTGAAATGTTCCAATTGTTGTTAAGTGTGTTACCTCCTTAATTTATTTTTTTTACTACAAGTACAAAGCTAATGCATTTTCTGAAATTTTGTGAAATTAAATTCACAACTAGCATCTCATTTAGCTCTTCTTGGCCTTTTTTTTTTTTTTTTTGTGTGTGTGTGTGTGTGTGTGTGTGTGTGTGTGTGAATCACCTTAAACTACTGATGTGAGAATATTTCTCTACTTTCTTGATTTCTGGCTTTCTTGCTTTCCTACTTCTTTGTTATAAATTGATTGGAAAGATTTCATCATTACCAGTCAGCTTGCTCCTGATTTTCTTCAATTTTTGGAAGTTAGCTCTTTGGACACAAATTAGAAATGCTATTGATTGTCACTTTTTCTGAGTTCCTATAATTTGTACACAACACCTTTTTATGAAGACATCACAAGTGATAGGGAGAGGAAATGAACAATTCCCCTATATGCTGTACCTGAGCTTCTCCCTGGACACTGCTTCAGCCTCTCTTACCAACACCTCTCTTTTTTTCACTCCTTCTCCAGTCCCACTACGATGTCAATGCTGAAAAGTTCAAGGTGCACTGATGGTGTTCACCTCTGCAGACAGCTCCTGCTGCTCAGGTCTGTCACTGGCAAATGTCACACTGTGCTTCCCAGCAGTCCAGGGCCAAAGGTGGACTGCAGTAGGCAACATGAGCATTTAGGACAAGATATCAAATGCCTTCCACGAGTAGGAAATTTAAAACATGTTGGTAATCACTGGTGTTCACAGCTATAACCAATATTGAATTCCTTCAACAACCGTCTATGTCCTCTCTTTCATTGTTCTTTATTTCCGTTGCAAATAGCTTGCAACAATAAAAATGAAGAAATGCCAAATTTGTGTGGCTCTTCAAAAAAAATTCTTGCCTTGAAATTAAGTTCAGTTGAAAACTCTGATCATCCTCTCCAGATTTTGTGCAGGCCAGATGGACTAGTGCTGTCCTTTGCTGTGAAGATGTCCTTATTGTGTGTTGCTTTTCTTTCCTCATGAGAGGAAGAAATAGATCAAAATCTTCATGTCTCCCTCCTGTTTTGCAGAAACTTCCTCCACTGCCTTCTTAGTGTGGAATCCCTCAAGGCCATATGTATAATGATCTATTAACTGATGTTAGCCAATATCTTGGTCTCAAAATTCATTGCTGTCTTTCCTTACAGTTCTGTCCTCAGGTTCTTCAGGCTTTTCTTCCTTTCTCACTAGCAAGTGTTCATTATTTCTCCTTTAAACCCCAGAGCATCCCCTGGTGGATTTTTGTATCTTTTAATTTCCTGGAAGGATATGAAGGGTCTAAAACTAAAAGCTTTTCTTGCTCTTATCCAGGAGATTACAGAAGGGAATTGGATAAAAGCGAAGGTTGAATACTCAGTGCTTTGCCATCATCAGCAGCAGTGTACATTTGGTAGAAAATAGCATTCTCCTTAGGCAGTGGGTTTTCAAAATATTTCCCAGGCATTAGAAATTCAGGAATGAAATTCTTTAGACATTATTCTCTGTGGCCTGAAGTTCCTTTTTATTTTGCTGGAGATGGAAAAGGGAAATAGAGTATTTGGACTCCCCAACTGACATATAATCATTAAAGAAACAAGGACTGTCCTTATCACATGCCTTTTCCTTCATTGTTGCTCAGACATTATCTAGACATTGACTATCCTATAGCCCACCAACAGAACTTGCAATCTACTCTTGTCAACTATGTGTAACATCTAAAGGTTTCTGAATACTTTGGTATCTGAACATTTAATATGCCTGAGCTGGTTTTCCTTGCCTGCTGCCATGGGAAAAATCCTGTGTGTTGGAAGAGCAAGACGGAATTACAGGTCAGACTCTTGTTCATCCTGCAGTGAGCTGGTCAGAAGAATAGTAATGGATGGTTTTTGAGAATAAGATACTGGCCAATACCAGAGAATAAATCACAGTTTTTTTCAGGCACGCCAGGTGTTGCCTGAGACACTGTGAACCTCTTTCAGTCCTCTGGAAGACTGAAGCAAACCTCAGGGGAAGTACCTTAAGCTTTGAGAATTCACTGAGCCCTGCTTGAAAGGCGCTAAAGGAAAATCAGTGCTGGTGGCAGTGCTGTGGGAAGCTACAAGCAGGGAGCTGTATCCTGCCCAGCAACGGGGCTGGTTGTGTATGCTGCTCCTTCAGATGATGGATGGTGGGAAGCTGGGTTTAACACAGACATCTCAGTTACTCTGGCCTTTTGAAAATTCATCACTGTGAACATTGTTGATACTAATTATTCTGTAGAAATTGCAGTGAGTAACCTTGTTCTAAGAAGGACTGCCTAAAGGATAAAGATGTTTCTTTCTTTTTCCACAACACTGATTGAACTCTGATAAAACATGTTTTCACTTGTTTCTTCGATGTACTCTTACACCATGAGACGAATAAATTACACAGTAGGAAGTAAATGAGAAGATTTTATACTGATAACTGTGTGCATGCTTCAGTTTTCCCTAGTGTTTTGCTTTGCCATAATCCCTGCTTTAAAATAAATGAGCACAGTTGTACATCTCTACTCTCCCACAGTATAAAACAGATCTTTTCCAGAAGAACTTTTCTTTTTCTATTAAGTTTCATCTTCATCCTTCCTTTGGAAATGCCTTTGGAAATACAGAATTATACTAAAATTTCTCATGGTCATAGATAAAATAATGCTAAACATATGTATCCATACTTTTAGCTGTAGGTGGAAAAGTCAGTGCTCAACCACAGAATTTCACTAGCCTTTTGCTTACTTTGCTTTCTCCTATTAAATGTTATTGATTTCAGTTTGCATCTCCTAATGACTATTATGCCAGGGGCAGAACTGGGTGACAGTGAAATCCAGTTCTGTGCTCCTGCTGATAATGAAAATGTGCTAGTAGCAGACCAGATTGCTTAAATTACTGCTAGTCTGAGTATAAACTTCATGAGCTGCCTGCCGGGAAGGCAATCAGCACTAATGGACTGAATGAGCCTGTCTTGCTCCTGCTGCCATCATATTGTCATGGTGGAGCTTTGCTGTTTGCTTCCAGCTGGGATAGGAAGGAAAAGCCAGAGGACCTGGCAAGCTCCAATGAAAGGTGAGTATTGTCAGATAAAGAACCATAGGAGAAGAACTCATTTTTTGAGTTTTGAGCTCTGTACCTTACATCAGCTCCTGTCATACCTCTGTGATGGAGAGCTGGGCACAATGTAGGGTCTGTAGCTCTGACGACAGAAGGAGTATGGCAAACTTTCAATTATTTGTTTTTGCTAATGGCTTTGTTTCTCAAGGAAAATAATGTCAAAAAGCCAAATTCTTCCAGTAGTCTACACACATGTTCACCTTACAGGTCAATTAACAGACAAATATTTTAGCTACATTACTTTATGCAGCATGTTAGAGGCTTTAATGCCTTACTGATGTTTTAATCATAGTTCCCTCTGTACAACCTTCAACTTATGAGCACAGTTAACTACATAAAAATTTTAAATTTGCAAAATCAGACTTGGGGATTAAAAGGCAGAACTGTCAGCCATGTCCCTGAGGGTTGTCTTATTTTTGTAAATCTGCCTGGAGGGGTTTCAAAAGCTTCTTTTCTTTCTTATCTTCACTTGCAAACCTAGCGATCATTTTGATTTTTTTTTTTATGCTTGAGTTTATAAACTCCCAGACTTCCAGAAAAGAGAGTTTCTTTAAAACCACGTGTCCTGAGTAATAATAATTTATAGGAGGGAAATGTAGAAAGCCTGTGATCCAGAAGCAGAATTGGTTTTCTTTTCAGCGCTCTCTCACTGTCAAACATTACACATAAAAAATTAATCCCTATAATTTCAGTTGTTCCTATGGAACTAGAATTTTAACTAGCGACCAAGTATTTCTACAGTGCCTACTCATAACGCAGTTCAGTGACCCGCTTGTGATCAGGTTAACTATCCTTATGCTTCCTAATTGCATTCAAGGACAATCTGTGGTGAAAGTCAGCCCTTCACAAAAAGCTGGCAGCTTCATCTCTTCTGGGAAAAGGAGCCAGGCTCTGATGGTCACTTCCTGTCAGCCATCTGCTAGCGGCACAACATGCCATATAGCATTGCCTATGGAAATGTATATGCATGTGTGCAAGCACATGACATGCACAAACAAATAGATCTGCACATAAACTGGATAGAATTCTCCTTGTAAGGTTTATTCTCTGAGGCTATTGCCTCAGAACAACTTTATGTTTGATCACAGGCATTTGAACTGTCTGAGCAAAGCAGAGCGATGCTGGGTGGCACCACTTTGTGCACATTGCCCTACCTGCTTTCCCTACATGCCCCTCCAGCGTGCCTCCCATAGAGAAAGAGGTGGAAGGCTTGCCTGGTTGCCAAGGGCACAGTGCTCCAGAAGAGCTAGTAAAGGGTAAGTCTGGCTTGGTTGGAGATTTCTTTTTCACCACTTTCTGATGTTTAATGAATGAGACAGTGTGTGAATGTGAAAAAGTTTACCTTTTTTTTTAAAGAGAGATCATCCTTGTTGCTATACTAAAACATACTTTTATTCTTGAAAGTGACAAGAAGTTTTATTTATTTTCTCATTACAAGATAAATTTATTTCAAATAATGTTCTTTTTACTGACCCAATATGAAAAGACAGATGTGCACAAAGTAGTGGATATTGAATATCATTGACTGATAGCAGTTTCCTGGTGTAAATGTGCAGTAGCTTTGAAAAAGCATCTATTGTGAGATTAAATGTGGTCAGAATCAAACAGCTTTATCTGTGTCTATTAAAAAAGATGAATGGACAGTGCCTCCCTCTCTATGAATCAAACACAGAGGAGCTGAACATCATAAATCTCAGCCACCATGAAGAGCCAGGGAGGGGAGAAAACGTTTCTTTCACCCTACGGTTCAGTTTTGCTAATTTTATTTAAAACCTCGGTCATAAAATAACAATAAAGAAAAAATACGCTGTAGTGTGTTTAGGGAAATTAATTCTGCCAGGAACCAACATTAGAATTTCAATTGTAATTTGAGGAGCTGTTTCAGACCTTTTCAAAAGGATTAGCAGTTGTAGCATTCAGAAAGTGAGATGACTTCAGAATTCAATACTGACTGACATCCAGCCAATAACAGACCAGAAGCCATTTTCAGCAGTGTCTGTGCAGGCTTACAGCAGTCCTTTCCCTCCTCCACTGAGAAAACTGCTGGGCTCCCAGCAGCTATGTCAGTAAAACCAATTTAAATGTACCTGTGACCACTTTCTGGCATCAAGATCAGTTTGACATTGCTTGTATCTAAATTATACCCTCTTGTACCTCTAAGGTAGAGTGGCTGCAAAACTTCCTGGTAGTGGCCCCTGGCCTGTAGCAATTCTTAGACCATGCCTATGACTTGCTCCCAGGGAGTGCAACTGTGGAGAGTGGCTGTTATCCCAAATCAAGCTGCGGATGGCATTAATAATTACACTGACGCAGTCCAGTTCCAGTGGCTGAGAATTCCTCTGATTAACTTGATAGCATAGGCTTAAAAATATATTTTAAAAAATTCGATCACACTGGGATGTGCTGGACCACAGCCCAGTCCTGTGGTAATAGTTCATCCAGCAGAGATACCTGTAAAATGCCAGAGCTTTAAGGGCAGTGTTGTAGTTACACTAAACATATGGTAATACATTTGTACTGGTATAACTGGGAGAAGAGGAGGGACTGAGGAAATGTGGGATCTTTGAGTCTCGTTTGAGATGTTTCCTATTTTTTTCTCATGAATTTGAACAGTACCATAAAGTGCTTAATGTTAAAACAAAATGTTTAACAGCAATAGCTTAATGAATATTCTATATACAGAAGTTTTGTGAGTTGTATCTTGCAAGAGAGGAAAGTGCATAAAAGAATCTCATTTCTGCATCTTCAGTTTTGTATTGAGACTTCAACACTGAAGTCTTTATAGATTTTTGTACTTTCTGAATGATCATCTTGACTTAAAGCTCAGTTTGCCTCCTTTTTTAATGGCAGAATGATGGAAAGTAGTTGAAGAGGAGCAACATAAAGAATTAAAAGCCTTTCTCCTCGTGGAGGCTGAATCATGGGGATTTTTTTCTTCTTTTAAATAAGGACCAGGGTCATTTAGCACTTGGATACAAAAACAACAGCTCCCAATATTTCCAAATAATTACTAGTCAGCCTTCCTACAGAGAAACAACAATATCTCTGTTATCTCATTTCTGAGGATTGCACTTGGAATAATAACCTCAAAATGAGAACCAGAAGCAGCCCAGAATGTGTATTTTTCCTCACAGATTGTGCTCAGGAACTGACTCTTTAATGCATGAATAGAGAAAAGCAACAGCATTCTATTTTACTGCACACCTTTGTTTTACAAGGACATCAAAAGAGCATAATATGACACAACAGTAAAGTTTTTCTGTGATCTTCATTATCATAAATTTGCTGCTTACATCAATATTATGGTATAAAAAAAAAAGAAAATACATGAGCCACATACCCATATGGAGATTTGACAGCTTGGTAGGAACTGATTCTAGCAGCGCAATGCCCATCCTTAGAGCTGATGGCAGAAATACTTGGGAGTATCATGCATCAACCCTTCTTCAACAAATAACCAGAGATCTGACCATCAGAAAACTACTGTGTCATCATCCTATGCTCAGACAATCATATTCTTTCTCTTGCCTGATTAAGTGTGAAAAAAAAGAAGAAAAAAAAGAAAAAAAGAAGAAAAACCTGATATTTGTCATAGCTGATATTTTCCATGAAATGTTTTAGTATATTCAGAAGAAAATCAACATGTATATTCAAATCTCTACTCTTCTGATAAGACATGAGCTTGTGTTGAAGGTACTCTGCTACAGCACTGACAGGTAGTGCCTTCCCCAGAGATTGTAGATCCACCATTCCTAATGCAGAGTCTGAACTTCGAGTGATGCAGAGTTGTTCTGACTGTGGATGACTTCAGTAGAATTTGAGAAGTGTGCCATCTTCTAGGAAAAGATTCAGACATTTTATCTGCAATACCAGCTCACTTTACCTACTGAAGAAGCTTGTTGGAGTCTGTGCTGGCTCCCTCCCGCTCAGCGGAGGGACTCTTAGATGTGAAGGAGAGGGGTTACAAACGTGTCTCGTTTGGTGCAGATATTGGATGTAGCTGGGAAAGTTTTTAACTGAAGTTCTGACCCTGAAGACTGGAGAGCTCTTGAGGTACTCGGCATCAGATCCATACTTTGATAAAGTAGCTGTTTCTGGATCCATTCTCCTCACTTGAAAATACGTGAACCAAGCCCTTTTCTCTCATTACTGGGAGAACTCTCTCCTTACTCCAACAGCTATTTCATGACTTTCTGCTGGCTCTGGGGTCTGATGGTGTGGTGGGAAAGGTGATTTTCAATATGGTTATGCTGTTGGTAGAATATGCCCTCCCTAGCATGGAGTGCTGCATGGGTGGTAAGACACTTTCTTCTCTTCCACTCAAGGGGTCTGTGTGACTTGCATGAGCAGATAAGGAAGATCCTTGGTGGACAGATGCTGTAGAAAGTACTCACGTGAGAAAACTGGGCTTTGAATCCTGCCTAATATTGCCCTATGCCTAACAGATTGTCTAAGTACATAAATGGCTTTTTGTCCATGCAATAATCATAGCCATTAGCAAGGGATGGGCAATTATGGTAAGTAACATAATTATCTCAAATTCAGAGGTGAATGCATGTGACAGTAGAGAAGCAGTAGGATATTTAGTATTTGTCTAGAAGAAAACAGACAACTGAGAAATAAATTAGCAGTGAAATGCAAAGAGAAACTTTAATGCAAAAATATCTGTAATGTTTCACAAAAGCCCAGTGGCTCTCCAACCCATGTTTATCATGGGTATAATGGTTTCATACATAAGTAAGGCTGGCTGCACACAGTGGAATTGATTTTACTTTGTAAAATGTAAATGTATCTGCTCACTTTCCTTCAGTAAAAAACTCTCCCTTCTGAACAAAAGAGAAAAGGGAGAGCATGAGCTGTTGCAGTTTTTCCTCACAATTTGCACTCTCTTATGAAATCTGCATTATAGTAGCCCAGATAGCAAGCAAGAAATGGGTGCTTATACCAGTGTACTGTTCCTTGTTAAAAAGACAGAATCTCTAGGACGGTCGTAATACAGGAAGTTCAGAGCAAAGAATAGTAAATAAAATGTTTCCTGTTTGGATGTCTTTGGTTGCTATAACATGTTACTGGTTTGTTTTTTTCTCAAAGGTAGAAATTCATTTCCACAGTTTTTGCAAAGATATTTGGCCAATCTTTCTCCTTGTATTAGGAATTTTTTCTATGCATCTCTCTTCTTTATGATGGGATGACATCTGCTCCATACTCATCCAAACCCACTAAGTCCCCTCTGTACTGGTATCAGGGAATGACATTACTAGCAGTGGATGCTGAGCATTAGGGTAGGAAATGAAGCTGGCTCGGGATGAAGAGGTTGTGATATATGAATGGATGTTACAGGACTCAAGTGAGGCAACATCTGGACCTGGATTAAAAGAGCAGTTTAATTACTCAGCACAATTCAAATGAACCATTAAAAGACAGACAGTACTGAAATAAAAGGAAAAATCGCTGTGCAGAAAAATTAAGCTTTTATACCACTAGTCTGTTTTGCCATCGACAGAGCTGCTTCATTCATCAGAGGATTTTGTCAGCCAGTGCCATACGACTTGTCATCACTTGTCAGCCTTCTTAGGCTGAGGTATGGGCAGACATGGCAGCATGGAGCTCTCTAATTGGCTTGTGAGAAGCTTAGTTAATGGCTGCAGTGTAGGCATACCTTCATTTTGATTCCCAGAGGCATGTAAAATGCTCTGCAAAACATGCAATTGACTTTTGCATAGAAAATGATTTCCTTTCTTGATATACTTCAATGAAAACCTTGTTTCAGTTTAGACTTTCCCACAACAAACTGCAAGCTAACTATACAACTTGTGGGCCAGAATGGATATTTTCAACCTACAACAATTCAGCAGACAAATTTTAAGGCCCATAAATGTTTTGTTAGCTGAAGTCATGTTGCTTTTTTTAGAAAACTTCAACTTAACTGGATGAATGATAGAATGAGTCTCTTGACTTGTGAACAATCAGTAAGATTCCATAATCTTTATGTGCTTCTGGGAGCTGAATGAAAGCACCAGGTGTACAACATCAGTGAGTTAGTACTAGTAGAAAGTAATTAATAATGGTAAGTGAACAATTTAAAACCTACTGTTAAGAGATGCTCAAAAGACAATTGTACAGTTCTTCACTATAGAGGCTCAAAGAACTGCAGTTGCTACTGACAGATGAGCTTTGCTCCAGGATCCTCTTGAACATCCGTGTAAAAAATGGTGGACCCAGTTGCAATGTTTTCAGGAATTAAAAGACTGAATTA